AGTTGCTACAGAAGATGATGGTAATCCTGACAATAAGAATGACAATGCCGATTATGGTAATGAGACGAAACAGGAGACGATTCTAATCCTGACGATAACAATAATAATGTCTATTTTGGCGATATGACGATACAGAAGACGATAGTGATCCAGACGATAAGAATGTCAATGTCGATTATAGCAATGAGATGATACAGAAGATAGTGTTGATCCTGACGATAAGAAAGACACTGGCCACTGCCAATGATGGCGATGAGACGATACAAACGATGATGGGGATCATGCCGATAACAATGACAATGTCGATTATGGCAAAGCGACGATACAGAAGACGATTATGATCCTAACGATAACGATAACAATGTCGGCTATGGCTTTAAGACGACATGGAAGATGATGGTGATCATGACGATAACGATAACAATGTCTATTATGGCTATAAGACGATATAGAAGATGATGCCCAAGACGTGAAAATTTATAATTTAAATATCAAACCTGTGACAAACAACAATACTACAGAGATTTGCGTGCACATAAAACAATATGACATTCAGAGGTACAAGGAAAAAATGTCTGATCCCCGGTCGTGTCAACCCAAAATATTTCAGATAAATGTTGGTTTTTTCTCCACTAAGAACGTATCAATTGAGGGTAAAAACAAAGAATGATCGAACCGGTGTAGGAATATGTCCTGTGTGATAACTTGTTCTCCGGCAAACCACTACTTTGTTAACTAAGTGATCTGTTCTTGGTTACATCCATGTCTTTGGGTCTATGGCAATCATCCCACACCTCCTTGTTGCATGTTATGGATCCAGCTTAGCCTGTCATTGTTGTACAATGCAGTGTTTTTAATAACATGTCATCTCGTGTGACATTTCCCGCTGAACGTTAAGTACCAACAGCTTAAAAATAACTTAATTGCCGTCATTAAGAATTCATACAAAAGCACCTCCAGAAACTGTAAGATCTTTAATCAACAAATAGTTCTAAAAATCATGCCTTCGCAAATAAAAAGAAATTCTCAAATCTTCTAATAGAGAAAAAAGACGGAGAAGACACCAAGGGGCAATAATATAGTATATAAGATAGACTAAGATCGACGTCCGTTCCTCAAATCGGAATCCAATCTGACGTCATAATAAAACAAGAATTATAAAAAACTTTGGTTCTCTCTAATTCCTTTTAGTTTTCGTAAATCGAAGTCCAATTCCTACCTTCTCTAATTGACGTCATGGTTGTAAACATCCTAACCGAATGAAGATTATAACACCAAATACAAATTTGAACCAAACCAATACCAAATTGAGACCTCGTGGCATTAAATTTATCAATATAATTTTTACATTTTTGGTCACGTGATTTTAACGGCATTCATATCAATTTTGCTTTTTCCTTACTTTTTTTATTTAACAAATATTAATGATTGGCCGTTTGTCTAACTCTTTGCTATGAACATTTTGTTTCTTGATTAATTCTAATGATTTAGGAACTGTATTGCATTAGATTGTTTCCTGCGGTCTTCCTCTCTGAATTTCTAAATCACGAACTTTTTTAATCAATATTAAAAATGAAGTTTGAGTTGGGTGGATTAATTGGCGTCTACCTTACATCCATGTCAGATTTTTGACGTGCTAGCTTACATAGTACTGTCCACATGAAGACACACCACTACACAGACACAATATTCTGTACTATCCACATGAAGACACACCACTACACAGACACAATATTCTGTACTATCCACATGAAGACACACCACTACACAGACACAATATTCTGTACTATCCACATGAAGACACACCACTACACAGACACAATATTCTAACTCCAAGACAACCAGATTGTGCTTTTACTACTAATTTTCGCGTGTTTGGCGAAGAAGCAACAAACGCCAGATCGAACCAACGCTATATGCAACCATCATTAAGACAACGGAAGCAAAATAAACAATAACTACAATAAAAACAACAATACTCAGATATGGATATGTTACAGTGAATTTGTATAATCAGGGATTATGTAGAATCCCTGATTTTTCAGGGATTATGTAGAATTACTAAAGTCATTAGTGATTCTATATAATCCCTGGAAATGACCAGTGATTTTACAAAATCACTGAACATTTTAATGATTATTCTACAAATTCCCTGAAATGGTTTTAGGGATTATCAATAATTCAAAGATCCTTTGTTTGATAAAAATTATAGACAAATTATCATTTGTTTTTTTCTTATTCCTTGAAAGTGTATAACACTTAGTCATGATTTAAATTGTTTAAAGGCTCTGTCTCTTATTTTCCATACAGGTTACACTATTTCATCATTTTTCATTAACATAGGATGGGGGCTGGTGGGCATGGATCTAGAAAAATAATAAATCTGAAAGATCTGTTGAAAAAACTGTTTTGTGAAAAGCAAAAGTAATAAAAACTAGATATACAGAAATAAAAGTAATATTTATCATATGCACAATTCTACGATTAGCGTCTCATTAGTATACTATTGTTTTGATTAGGTTTGGGACTTGTTGTTAAACCTATTGTTAGCAAAGAATTTAATGCACGTAGACAATTCAATTTAGTTGATTTGAAATTTTAAGTCCAATATTATATGATTTGATTTTGATTTTTGGTGTTTTAACGCCACTTTTAAGCACCGCTTTTGGGCTATTTTGTGGCGGCCAGTTTTTATTGGTGGATGAAGCCGGAGTGCCCGGAGAAAACCACCTACCTTCGATAGGAAAACTGACAATCATAGTCAATTAAGATTGGAGTCGAGTGCACCCGCACGAGCGGGGTTCGAACTCACAACATCAGTGTTGACTGGCTAGTGATTACAGTAGTAACTACTTAGACCACTGGGCCACCGAGGCCCCTCCAACATTATATGACAAAAATTTTCTAAGTGTAAATCCACAGTGCATGTTATTTTTGGTAAAAAAAATGGTGAAGAAGGTTATGGAACATCTGTTTGTGTATTTTGTGTTCAAATGAAGAAGAAAATATAACTGAGAAAACTGATGCAACTATTTTTTTTATGTATAGAAAAACAGGCAGAACGAATAATTGGCAGTATCTGTTATGATTTTAATCATTTTTTACATGATCCCAAAAACAAAGTAAAATTAGGTGGGCGGGACACAGGCTCTTATAAGAGCCTTTAATTAATTGTGGTACCTCAGATGATTGTATTGAAAACTTTGTTTCTCTTATATGTGTAGTAAAATCTGATTCGATATGTGAAGGGCTTTTTAAGATGTGGATGTTGTGGAATAAACAGATGTGAATCAAATATATGTGCCTGTAGAAAAGCAGGGCAAATGTGCAATAGTTAATGTCATCCAAATTAAGTTTGTAAAAATAGATGATTGATTTTGAAATATTGTTCTTTTAAAAACATTTTAATATATTTTGCTTAATATTTTTTTAAGTCTATTGTTCCTAACATTTTAATGTATTGAGGTTAACATTTTGATATATTGTGCTGAACATTTTACAATTTATGTTTATAATGATGTTTTAATATGATTTTATATAATGAATTATATAACTTTTATTCATTTTCTATATAAATAAAACTAATTCATCATTTCAGTTATTATATATAATCCCTGACATTTTTTCAAGTGATTATACATAATCCCTGAAAACTTTAGTGATTATATATAATCCCTAAACTGACCAGTGATTCTACATAATCTCTGAAAATTTTAGGGATTCTACATAATCACTGATTATACAAATTCACTGTAACAGATACACGGCATAAGGAACCTTTATCGCTGTGAAACAAAAAGTGTGATAGACATTAAACAATTCAACATAATATATTTGCACAGAAAAATACTTTGCAGCGTAATATACCAAATAAGCGTGTCATATCCTAGGTTTTAATACCAAAGACAAACAAATCATCTCGGCCGATTTAGACACATCCTTAGACTTAATACCAATTCATAAAACATATTTGGACAACCATATCTTCGTGTATTGTTTGCAAATAATCGACGGATTCAGTGTAGAAACTTAACAATATGAAAGGTGAAGAAATTGAAACCAATAGTTGAACCCAACCCCGCTTTTTTATTACAAGTAGTGGATATTAGTAAAGTAAAACACCAGTGAAAATCTGAGAGCTATTTTTTTTTTCGGCATTTAAATGGCTTTCACCGTCACTAAGCAATTTGACTTGGAAGTTCACTGGTCAAAAACAGTTGCTAGCAAATATGAAAAAACCCGCAAACATAAGTCCTAATAGCATATATAGCATGATATAATTATTATTTGATGAAAATTTTATTTCGCTTGTGCAGTTACAACATTGCGTCAGGTATTGTTTTCACGGCGAGAGTAAACAGTCAGAATCAGTGATTCCAAAATGAAAAAATGATCTCGATTTTTTACAAGAATTGACAGAAAGAGATACAAACCAAGAGATGCTTTTGGGATGAAACATGATTATTTAGTCATTGGGAAGTATTCAGATCGTTCGCCGAATCTGAGATAAGGATAATTTATTAAAAGGGGGAGGGACCAATGATAAATTTTGCATAAAAAGGGGGCGGCATGAAAAAAAAAATCAAAATATACAAAGAAACACAGTTATATGTCAAAATGGGAACGAGAGTCACCCTGTCCCCTTCCGGATTAGCACCTTTTTCATGAATGTCACAACAGATACAAATTTACACTGAACAGCTGATCCGGCCGTAATCTGTATCAGTATATAGTACCCTAGCTTTTCAGTCACAACTACTAACACTAATGGGTAAACTGAAATAATTAATTTATTACAGACTGTTTATAACGATAAAAAAGCAAAACATTACCTTATTGTCAATTACATAATATTCCTTTCTCTATCAACAATAATCAACTTCCGACCTTTCTACGCGAAACTCGTTGCTAGGGGCGTGGTTTTAAAATATCGTTGTTCGATAATTTCCGCCAATACTCGGACACTGTTGTTATAAACGTCACGAGAACATGCGTACCCTAAAAAATGTACGTAAAACTCTTTCCGGTCAAAAAAGAAGACACTAAACAGATTCTTCAAACGAAAATAATTTTAATAAGTAAGAGGCACAAAGTTAATTTGATGAGAAAATTACAACAACCTCGAATAATCACCCTTTTTATATATTTCACACTCGGTTTTAACACGAAATATTACTTTCGAACTCTTTGAATGTCCTTTTGGAATCTTTCACCTCTCTTCTTCATGCATAAAAATAAGATATGGTAATGCTGACCTAAGAAGGAGCAATTAAAAATCAAAAGTCTAAGAAATACAGAAAACAAAAGACAAATAGAAGTAACATAAAAAGGATAACAACGTTTCAAAAAACACTACATAGAAAATTAATAAATGAGCTACACTATACACCTAATCGCTATTTATTCCATTCCGGATAAGTTCTAAAATTACACAACTTTTTCATCCAGTTGAAGCTATCTGGGACCCTGTTTAAACAATGCACCATGCATGATACTTTTTAATGAGACCTGTTTAAAACATCGTAAATACTTCAAACACAATATTTTTTTGACTTTAATTTGAGTTTGGAAAAAGTGGATCATAATCTATCAAAGTTTCCTATTGATCGCTTTCTAAATTTTTCCCTCCCTCAGCTCGTTACTGATGACCTTTGTTTGCGGCCTGTTGACCCAAACAGGAAGTTGTCTAAATGACTGTTTTTTCCGGATTGGACTAAATAGCGATAAGGTGTATAGTCCGACGTATGAAGGCGTCCCAGAAAAATATTAATAGCCTTTGAAGACGTCATAATTATTTGGACTAGAGCTACACCAACTCAAACAAAAAGCTGAGTGTGAACTTGCGGGGTACACTCGTACCTTCGCCAACTCGTGCCCTATTTTTACCAATGCGCTTTAGCATGATTGTGTTTCATTAATTAGGTTATATTGAAAATTTTATTGTTAATTTTATTTTGATCTACTGATTTGATTTTTCTCAAGGCCAAAAAAAAATATATGTCTGTTTACGGTTACCCGACCGTCCCTATTTTGGGGTGCCGACCCAATGTCATTTTATTCAAAAATGACATCGAAAGTGAAAGTACAAAGCCAGAAACACCTACTTTCAGTTTAAAACAAAAGTGAAAGAAGGTGCGTGATCATCTGAGCGCTTTAATTTTAAAATCGCGTACTTGATATTGAAGTGTTTTTACGATCTAGATCTCAATGGCAGCATGCATGGCCCAACAGGCTGAGGCAGCAAGTGTGGTCGCATTAAAGTTCATTTGTCATCGTGTTTCTTATCTATTCCCAGGTTTGTCTTTTTGTCCTTTTTGACTAACGCTTCAGTTGTCTACTCTTTATTTCTTCTAAAAAAACACAGCACCAAACTTGTGAGCAATGTTCCTGGGAAGGTTATTTATTATGGTATAAAAGAATTTAATTTATTAAAAGTTTAATGCATCAAATTTGCAACAGTGAAAGAAACATTCTTTAATACAAGGAGTTGGTACAACCCCAAAACTTGAACCAGTACGTTCATATGTATAAATCAGGTTTTGTCATCTTTCCTCGTTTCTGATGGGTCTTCTTGTTTTATATATTGATTGTTCATACACCAGTACAGTATAATGAATTTATTTCTGCATATATGCCTGCATACATGTACATTAATAAACCTATATAATAGAAAGGACAAAACAATTTATTTTCAGTTTATATGACAGTAAAAAGTTAATATAGTCACTTAATATTAGTTAAAACAACATGTAACAACATCACACATCTCGCCAAAAAAAAAAATGATAAAAAAAAAAAAAAAGGGAAATACCTACCTACCTACCCTATTTTTTTAAAGGATGTAACCTTAAACAGACATATATTTTTTTTGGCCTAATGTTTTAAATGTTAAAGGTGTAACATAAAATATTGTCCCCCATGAAATATTGTCTGTCAGACAAAATTTCATATAAAATATCGCCATGGACACTATTTTATAATGAAATACTGTCCAGGACAATATTTCATTATGAAATAGTGTCCTTGTCCATGAAATTTTGTCACCTGACCTTCTGGACAATATTTCACTATGAAATTCTGTCCATGACAATATTGCACTATGAAATAGTGTCCGTGGACAATATTTTATATGAAATTTTGTCTGACGGACAATATTTCATGGGGGACAATATATATGTTCACTGTGACATACTGTCCATGAAAATTTCTTAATCAAATTATTAAAAAATAAAAACAGTACACTTGAGCATGCAGAATGCAAATTTTAGATTTATAACGGAAATCATTTTGTAAAGCAAGTACTTTTCATCTCAAACTAATATTTATTTTTATATAAGCCAGATTCAAATTTCCATAGATACTTAATAAATTTTTTATAGATTAAAGAATTGTCTAACATATGTTCCATTGTACAACATTATACTGTATAGATATAAGTAATGTACTGACAATCAAAAATTGAATGTACTTGTAGTATTTGTATATACTAGATTGGCGGATCTTTTTCAACAGCATTTTGGAGGTACAGGAATAATTGGAATGCCCTTGTCCAATACTTGTATTTCACTTGATAACCTCCCCTTCATGAGACAAAGTTTATGACAATCTGTCTATGAAATATTGTCTCAATACACACAAAAATAACCTCCCTTTACCAGGACAAAATTTCATAGTTTTCATCTGTGAAATATTGTCTATATACAGACAAAATTTCACAATGAAATTATGTCCTTCTCTGGACATAATTTCATAGATGACGACAATATTTCATGATACATAGTCATGAAATATTGTCTTGGTGGACAATAGTTTGCTTTACAAAGGCAGTGTCTGCACGACCTCGCATGCGGGGACGAGTAGTCAAATTGGCATTTGTAGGCTACATGTCCCCGCATCCCGTTTTATAATAAAATGTCATGGGATCGTGAATGAAATGTGAAATATACACGGAAATTATCGGTAATTTGGGGATTTTGTGAATATTCAGTGAAGAGAACGGCAAACAATATTTTCCATTTGTATTTATTAGATAATAATACATAATAAACATTGCAAATTAGATGCACACTGAAGGAATAAAAGTGTACAGCCCCTGTAAAAGAAAACATGATAAAAATTAGAAACTATGATAAAATGTTAATGCAAATTAAAAGAATAAATGGAGTATGGCCACGAAGTGCCGATATTGGCCCTGTGGTGTGACAAAAAATAAAAGTGAAATAAGGTGGATCCCTTATAGCTAAGACATAAATACGTATATCGTTATTTGTTATTATAGTATAAAATCATATTTTTCTGAAATAATACCCGGTATCAAACCGGAATGCTCAAAATGTCCAAATTCTGAAAGAATTTCACACTTCCTGGTTGAATTTCGCATTGGCCACAGGCCTCGACCAAAGTAATTTTACTCTTATTTTGATTGTTTGACACTTTGACTCAGTTTGCAACATTATTTAGCGTGGTCGAGGCCTGTGGCCACATCGAAAATTTAAACTTTTGCTAACAAGCAAATCCTGATTCAACGCCACCATTTCCGAGGTGATTCTGTGACGAAATAACTGTACCGAGAAATTGTACAATTGCTATAAATAGAATAAATTCTATAATTTATTATTTTCTTATTTATAACAAACAAAAAAGAAGAAAATGGAATAACAAGTCTTTGTTTTTAGCGAAGCTTCGTTAACCGCCGATCTGTCAAGGGTTTTTAAACATGTATAGATACCTCCTCATAACTGTTTTTATTAGAAAACAAGACAAATTGGTGGAAATAAAAATTATGAATTTGCAAATTATTTTAAAGTTCATTTCCACGTTATTTTGTAATAATTAGCCCGGTCTGTGCTATGCAAACAAAAATATGACAGTTTTAAATTAGAGCCGTAGTTTTTTTCTGTAAAATTATACATCCAGCAGATTGAACTTCACATGGATACGGATTTAATGAGGTCGAATTATCCACTTGCAAGTGAATAATTCATTAGCGATGTTTCTTTGCTTATTTTGACAAAAATGAACCAAACTTGCTGCTAAAAGCGAATTATTATTTCACTATTTCACTTCCATTAATGATTGAACAAAAAAATCTTTTTTTTTCTATATCTCTTAGCTAATGCCCCTTTAACCAGAACACGAATCATAAAATAATAAAAGTATTTGTTCTTTTAAAACGTAATTGATAGAAACATGCAAAAGTCAGATAGATTTAATTGTATATAGCTAAATCGCTAAATGAAATTGTCCACAATGGACAACTGAGAATGAGTATTCTGTCAAATTTTTTGAGTTTTTTAAACTAGGCAGTGGCTCTTTTGCCGCTGCCGGCAAAATAGAAAATATGCTATTTTGTTGTCTTTGATTAAAATATCTTAATTAAAACAAGCAAAATAGCATATTTCGATAGCAATGACTATTTTGCCGGCGCCAGCAATATAGTGAATTTGTTATTTTGCCGGTTCTTTGTAAAGAGTGAATTTTAATATTTACTTGTGAAAAATACTACGAAAATGTGCATTGTCAACATAAAAGAATCAAATTATTATTCGATATATAGTTGAATAAGATAAATGTCAAAATATTTCAGATACATATAATCATTTAAATCATTTATTAGTCCAAGTGAAAATAAGAATTTGTAAAAAGGAATAAAAATAAAAACTATTGAGCATCCATTTGTAGCAATGAAATCATATCAAAACATGTAGTTGAAATTTCTTCTAAAATCAGTCTAATGCTACATGTATGCATAAGAATAAAATCTCAGATTTTTAAACTATGCTGTAAAATAAATGAAAGACCAAAAATCTCATAGCATATCAATTTGATAAAAACGTTATACAGTCTAATGCTGCTATATTATCATGATATATGAAAGAAAATAACAACTTTAATGTATATAAATTATAATAAAATATTGGGTACAAGTTGGTAGAAGTACAAGTTGGTTGAGTACGAGTTGGCGAAGGTACAAGTTGACATGTATCCAACTTGCGTATTCCCTGTTGGAATTCTATGTCTGGAACTATTTTCTTTATTGGCTGCCCTCAAAATCGTTTATCAAGCCCTAATATGAGGCAGGCATTACCTTTGAAGGGGACAAAATCCGCAAAAATAATTCTTTTATAATACTTATATTTGCCAAATTAAAAGTAAAGAAAAATATACTATAAAGGTCATCAAAATTCTCTTCTATATTGAATTTATTGTTAATTTGTTCTCCCCCTAAATACGCATGAACCATTTGCCACTGGACATACAGCAAATAGCAATCAATCAATCAATTCAATTTCATAACTTTCTTTTTCAGGAATATGACCAATCAAGTATTGAGACGCCATGCTCTGCGACTTGGACGTTCAATTGTATCGCTGAACAGACAGATCAGTTATTGTTCACAAAAAGTGAAATTATTTCAGATGTCAGAAACAGTTCAAAAGTCATCACAATGTGCATTTCTAGATTTTTCACGACATATGTCAACAGAACCAAAGTTTGAAGCATTTAATGTACAGGATACAGATGATTTTAAACACAGAGTTCTGGAAAGTTCTACACCAGTAATAGTAGATTTCCATGCAACGTAAGTATCTTAAACACAGAGTTCTGGAAAGTTCTACACCAGTAATGGTAGATTTCCATGCTGAGTAAGTATCTTAAACACAGAGTTCTGTAAAGTTCTAAACCAGTGATAGTAGATTTCCATGCCACGTAAGTATCTTAAACACAGAGTTCTGTAAAGTTCTACACCAGTGATAGTAGATTTCCATGCCACTTAAGTATCTTAAACACAGAGTTCTGTAAAGTTCGACACCAGTGATAGTAGATTTCCATGCCACGTAAGTATCTTAAACACAGAGTTCTGGAAAGTTCGACACCAGTGATAGTAGATTTCCATGCCACGTAAGTATCTTAAACACAGAGTTCTGGAAAGTTCGACACCAGTCATAGTAGATTTCCATGTAATGTAAGTATCTTAAACACAGAGTTCTGGAAAGTTCGACACCAGTAATAGTAGATTTCCATGCCACAAAAGTATCTTAAACACAGAGTTCTGTAAAGTTCGACACCAGTGATAGTGAATTTCCATGCCACGTAAGTATCTTAAACACAGAGTTCTGTAAAGTTCTACACCAGTGATAGTAGATTTCCATGCCACGTAAGTATCTTAAACACAGAGTTCTGTAAAGTTCTACACCAGTGATAGTAGATTTCCATGCCAACTAAGTATCTTAACCACAGAGTTCTGGAAAGTTCGACACCAGTCATAGTAGATTTCCATGCCACATAAGTATCTTAAACACAGAGTTCTGTAAAGTTCTACACCAGTCATAGTAGATTTCCATGCCATGTAAGTATCTTAAACACAGAGTTCGGGAAAGTTCTACACCAGTAATAGTAGATTTCCATGCAACGTAAGTATCTTAAACACAGAGTTCTGTAAAGTTCGACACCAGTAATAGTAGATTTCCATGCTACGTAAGTTTCTTAAACACAGAGTTCTGGAAAGTTGTACACCAGTAATAGTAGATTTCCATGCTGAGTAAGTATCTTAAACACAGAGTTCTGTAAAGTTGTACACCAGTAATAGTAGATTTCCATGCCACGTAAGTATCTTAAACACAGAGTTCTGGAAAGTTCTACACCAGTTCTGGAAAGTTGTACACCAGTAATAGTAGATTTCCATGCTGAGTAAGTATCTTAAACACAGAGTTCTGGAAAGTTGTACACCAGTAATAGTAGATTTCCATACAACATAAGTATCTTAAACACAGAGTTCTGGAAAGTTCTACACCAGTTCTGGAAAGTTGTACACCAGTAATAGTAGATTTCCATGCTGAGTAAGTATCTTAAACACAGAGTTCTGGAAAGTTGTACACCAGTAATAGTAGATTTCCATGCAACGTAAGTATCTTAAACACAGAGTTCTGGAAAGTTGTACACCAGTAATAGTAGATTTCCATGTAACGTAAGTATGTTAAACACAGAGTTCTGTAAAGTTCTACACCAGTGATAGTAGATTTCCATGCTGAGTAAGTATCTTAAACACAGAGTTCTGGAAAGTTGTACACCAGTAATAGTAGATTTCCATACAACATAAGTATCTTAAACACAGAGTTCTGGAAAGTTCTACACCAGTAATAGTAGATGTCCATGCCACGTAAGTATCTTAAACACAGAGTTCTGGAAAGTTCGACACCAGTAATAGTAGATTTCCATGCAACGTAAGTATCTTAAACACAGAGTTCTGGAAAGTTCGACACCAGTTATAGTAGATTTCCATGCCACAAAAGTATCTTAAACACAGAGTTCTGTAAAGTTCGACACCAGTGATAGTAGATTTCCATGCCACGTAAGTATCTTAAACACAGAGTTCTGGAAAGTTGTACACCAGTAATAGTAGAATTCCATGCAACGTAAGTATCTTAAACAAAGATTTCTGGAAAGTTTGACACCAGTCATAGTAGATTTCCATGCCACGTAAGTATCTTAAACACAGAGTTCTGGAAAGTTGTACACCAGTAATAGTAGATTTCCATACAACGTAAGTATCTTAAACACAGAGTTCTGGAAAGTTCTACACCAGTAATAGTAGATTTCCATGCCACACAAGTATCTTAAACACAGAGTTCTGGAAAGTTGTACACCAGTAATAGTAGATTTCCATGCCACGTAAGTATCTTAAACACAGAGTTCTGGAAAGTTCGACACCAGTAATAGTAGATTTCCATGCCACAAAAGTATCTTAAACACTGAGTTCTGTAAAGTTCGACACCAGTGATAGTAGATTTCCATGCCACGTAAGTATCTTAAACACAGAGTTCTGGAAAGTTGTACACCAGTCATAGTAGATTTCCATGCCACGTAAGTATCTTAAACACAGAGTTCTGGAAAGTTCTACACCAGTAATAGTAGATTTCCATGCAACGTAAGTATCTTAAACACAGAGTTCTGTAAAGTTCTACACCAGTCATAGTAGATTTCCATGCCACGTAAGTATCTTAAACACAGAGTTCTGGAAAGTTGTACACCAGTAATAGCAGATTTCCATGCAACGTAAATATCTTAAACACAGAGTTCTGGAAAGTTTACACCAGTAATAGTAGATTTCCATGCAACGTAAGTATCTTAAACATAGAGTTCTGGAAAGTTGTACACCAGTAATAGTAGATTTCCATGCAACGTAAGTATCTTAAACACAGAGTTCTGAAAAGTTGTACACCAGTAATAGTAGATTTCCATGCCACGTAAGTATCTTAAACACAGAGTTCTGGAAAGTTGTACACCAGTAATAGTAGATTTCCATGCAACGTAAGTATCTTAAACACAGAGTTCTGGAAAGTTCGACACCAGTAATAGTAGATTTCCATGCCACAAAAGTATCTTAAACACAGAGTTCTGTAAAGTTAGACACCAGTGATAGTAGATTTCCATGCCACGTAAGTATCTTAAACACAGAGTTCTGGAAAGTTGTACACCAGTAATAGTAGATTTCCATGTAACGTAAGTATCTTAAATACAGAGTTCTGGAAAGTTCGACACCAGTCATAGTAGATTTCCATGCCACATAAGTATCTTAAACACAGAGTTCTGGAAAGTTGTACACCAGTAATAGTAGATTTCCATGCTGAGTAAGTATCTTAAACACAGAGTTCTGGAAAGTTCGACACCAGTAATAGTAGATTTCCATGCCACAAAAGTATCTTAAACACTGAGTTCTGTAAAGTTCGACACCAGTGATAGTAGATTTCCATGCCACGTAAGTATCTTAAATACAGAGTTCTGGAAAGTTGTACACCAGTAATAGTAGATTTCCATGCCACGTAAGTATCTTAAACACAGAGTTCTGGAAAGTTCTACACCAGTAATAGTAGATTTCCATGCAACGTAAGTATCTTAAACACAGAGTTCTGTAAAGTTCTACACCAGTCATAGTAGATTTCCATGCCACGTAAGTATCTTAAACACAGAGTTCTGGAAAGTTGTACACCAGTAATAGCAGATTTCCATGCAACGTAAATATCTTAAACACAGAGTTCTGGAAAGTTTACACCAGTAATAGTAGATTTCCATGCAACGTAAGTATCTTAAACACAGAGTTCTGGAAAGTTGTACACCAGTAATAGTAGATTTCCATGCTGAGTAAGTATCTTAAACACAGAGTTCTGGAAAGTTCTACACCAGTAATAGTAGATTTCCATGCCATGTAAGTATCTTAAACACAGAGTTCTGGAAAGTTCGACACCAGTAATAGTAGATTTCCATGCAACGTAAGTATCTTAAACACAGAGTTCTGGAAAGTTCGACACCAGTAATAGTAGATTTCCATGCTGAGTAAGTATCTTAAACACAGAGTTCTATAAAGTTGTACACCAGTAATAGTAGATTTCCATGCAACGTAAGTATCTTAAACACAGAGTTCTGGAAAGTTGTGCACCAGTAATAGTAGATTTCCATGCTGAATGTTTCTTCTACTTTTACTCTGATAGCAAGGTCACTCTGTGAAAAATATATGTGTTAATATAGATATATTTGTTCTCTCACGATTACAGAACATATAAACAGATTGTGAATGCAATTGAATAATGATATCAATTATAATGATGGATGTGATCCAGTACAGGAAAGTTCTAAAACAATAATAGTAGATTTCCATCAAATATAATTATCTGAGATACACAGTTATTCCAAGTTGTAGTGTGTATTAATATATATATGAGGTGTGAATCCTGGAATTAAAACTACATTTGTACATCAATTCACATGTTATTATTGTATTTATAGATAGAAAAGTGTTAACTATTATGAACAAGGGTGTATATACCATCATACTTCCTTTTGTATACATCATCTACATAGAGCAATTTTCATGTTCCATTTTTCTATTTTTAGTTGGTGTGGACCCTGTAAATTGTTAGGTCCTAGGCTTGAGTCCATTATAGCATCTAGTGCAGGAAAAGTGCATTTAGCCAAAGTAGATGTTGATGACAATGCAGAAATAGCTATGGATTATAAAGTAAGTTGATGTCAATGTTAATGGATAAATAGCTATGGAATTTAAAGTAAGTTGATGTCAATGTTAATGGATAAATAGCTATGGAATATAAAGTAAGTTGATGTCAGTGACAATGGAGAAATAGTTATGGAATAAAAAGTAAGTAGATGTGGATGACAATGGAGAAATAACTTTGGAATATAAAGTAAGTTGATGTCGATGACAATGCAGAAATAGCTATGGAATATGAACACTGTGTATCATCGCCACCGGAAATTGGGTACTAACGAAGCGGAGAGAAATGGAAAAAAAAGTAAACAAGGTAAGAATTCATTCAATTTAAAGCATTTCTACTGATTTGACGAGGGTACCGCTTAAGAAATGATTTTTTGATATATAATTCTTTAAATTATTAGGCCGATAAGTACAAAATTAAGACAAGATTTTGTGTTATACTCAAGAACTTGCCACTTAGTACCTGAAAATTTCGAGGTCGATCGTCCTCTGTAGCCCCATTGGCAAGATATTCAACTGTTTTTCATTATTTTTCCAGACACTTTTTTAGATTATTATAGTGTGGCATCATATTTACTGAAATTTGTTGTCAAAATGAACGTTTTTAAAGAATATAGACCATAAAAAATAAAGTCTAGGGTACGGCAACTTGCTCATGTTGACAAATTTACTGTATGGCAACTTGTTTTCAACTGTATGGCAACTTGCTAATTTCAAAATATTTATTTGCCGTCTTTTTAAAGAAAATAAAGTATTAGGTTCAAATATCTAATTATGCATTTGATAAAAATACAATTCGCTTGACACCATTTAAGATGTATACACAATATAAGGCTTGAACACAGTCCTATTACATCTTTTACATACCTGATGTATGCAATATGAATACGGCATATACAAAAGCTGGCAAATGTTGTAACTTTCGAAAAGGCATGTCACTGTTTTACTGACCTGTTGTTCTGCCCTGACGTAGCGTTAAATGTTACCCATATCCGTCCGACCCGTCTCTCCCGTCCGTCCAGAAAGTCCCAATAATTGGTTTCCATTCTCTAACTTTAGTATGCCTTAACCAAATGTTTTAAAACTTACACGAAATGCTTATCACCACAAAACACAGATCAAGTTATAAATTGGGTAGCGTCACTGTTACCGTTTTTGAGTTATGCCCTTTTATAAATGAAAAAAAGCTAAAGCTGTCGTTTCTGTTCTCAAACTTTAGATTGCCTCAACCAAATATTTTAACCAGACAACATTAGTCAGCATTTGCATATAAGTGATGAACATTTCGGGGATGGGTTGTGGGTGGAGGGAAGGAAGGAGGTAATAGCAGGAGAATTTTTCCGCATTGAATATTTAGAACCAATAAGTGAATGAATTCTCTTTCAACTTTCAGATAAAATGAAATATGAAAGAATTCTCATTCTCTGCAAAAAAAAATGTTGTATTGCTACACCACGGCACCATGTTAAGGGAGGTTTGAGTGCTCACAAACATGTTTAAGCCCGCCTCAATATATATGTGTCTGTTCCTGGTCAGGAACATGTAATATAGCGGCTGTCGGAAGTTGCTGCCTGACATATTTGTTTATGATTTTGTCATAAATCAGGCAATTTTGATACGGTATGGGTTTTGTTCATTGTGAAGTGTATAGTAACCAATAGTTGGTCAAATCTATTTCATTTGGACTTTGTTTGAAAGTCCTCTCAGTGAAAACCATTCCACGTCTCCTTTTTCAATTAATGTTATTGTCTTATTTGTAAAAGGCAGATACAGCCAATATATTAGAATAAAGAACATTAATTTTCTAAAAAAAAACTTCATCTCTATATAGTAAGAAATGAACAAGCTCGATGGCTAACACTGTTTAAATTAAAAAAAAATATTAACATTAGATTAATCATTTTTGGAAAGAATGAAAGAAGAATCCGATACAAGGGATACAAATCCGGCTGTGGCTACGGCATGAACTATTCATATAAACTTTCTACTTAAGAATAAAGATGACCTTGTATGAAGTTTTTTTTTGGTTGTCATCTTAATATTATATACTTATTAATACAATTCACAAAAGCGAACGAATAAGTCGAGTACACCTTTTTACATTCAGGCGTGCTTAAGTTGCACTTTTTTCGTCTTATTAAGAAAAATGATTTTAATTTTAGCATCTATCTAAAGATTAGATTATTTACACACACACAAAAATAGGGCTTACTGTTGATTTTGAAAATTCACATTTATATTCAACCAAACAGATTCATACCTTTATAAGTTTCAAAACAGAGAAGGTGTGTTTGAAAACAAATAATCACGTACTGCTATATCTTTTAAGGCAAATGCAAGTCTTATTTGTATTAATTATATAATTTTAATTGGCACAATATCACATTAAAATTTACTGAGAAATATTATACATAGTAATCATGAAAATGTACTACTGTAACAATGAAAATTCGGACGAATACACTCCTTTTCACTACCCCTCCATCAACTCATTTAAGGTTAGGTAAAACAGCCTTAGCAACAGTCTTTTATTATTTTTTCCCTGTAAATAAAAAGATTGATTGAATTTACTTAAACTAAAAAAAAATACAATCTTATTTTCAATAAGAAACAAGAACATTAATTCGAAACACAATTCATGATTTATTTCTCCCAATTTTCAATGAAAACAAAGTATTTTCTTCACTTTTCTTTTCACAAATTATTCATTTCAGAAATTGAAAAAATAAACAATAAACAATGTTGAAGACCGTACCTTGATCTATAATGGTTTACTTTTATAAATTGTGACTTGGATGGAGAGTTGTCTCATTGGCACTCATACCATATCTTCCTATATTTATTTAACCCAGCACATTCTTTATGTGTCTGTCCGAAGCCACGAGCCTGTAGTTTGGTGGTTGTCGTTGGTTCATCTCTATCATATTTGTTATTTTTCGTTAATTGTTTTGTTATGAGTTAGGCCGTTAGTTTTCTTGTTGAATCCTTCCACAATTTTCATGTCGGGGCTTTTTATAGCCGACTGTAAGGTACGATTTTTGGTTGTTGAAGGCCAAACGATAGCATATAATTGCTTACATACACTTTATTTGACCCTGGTGGATAGTTATCTTATTTGCAATCATACAACATCTCCACTGTTTATATTTTAAAAAAAAACAGCGCCAACAAAAGATGAATGGTTGTTTTTTTTTATTGAACTTACAAAATTTCACCCTGACAACAAATAAGACAACAGTCGTTAGTATTATAACGATATATGAATGTATTTAGGATAATATGGTTGAAAAAAACCTTTTTGTCTTTAAAAACAAAAAGTCAAATAGAGGTACGCAACGACGACTTCTGAACGAAATTAACGGCATATATTTTATAATATTTGATAAGTAGTTTATTTTGTATATTTGTAAGCCGGTAAAGCTTTGATACAGCCAAAATTTTGTCACTTGATATTTCTAAACAGTGATTAATTTCATCTTTAAATTACAATATATTGCAAGACGCCGTACAGACAAAAGTTGTTATTTTGCAATTCGCCGTACAACGTCCTGCAATTCGCCGTACAATAAACAAACAATGTTTTGGTCCAAATTCTTTAAAAACATCTTTATGACAACAGATTTCAGTCAATATGATGTCACACTATCATAATCTAAAAACGTGTCTAGAAAAATAATGAAAAACAGTTGAATATCTTGCCAATGGGGCGACAGAGGACAATCTACCTCGAAATTTTCAGGTACTAAGTGGCAAGCTTTGGAGTATAACACACAATATTGTCTTAATTTTGTACTTATCGGCCTAATAATTTAAAGAATTATATATCAGAAAATCATTTCTTAAGCGGTACCCTCGTCAAATCAGTAGAAATGCTTTAAATTGAATGAATTCTTACCTTGTTTACTTTTTTTTCCATTTCTCTCCGCTTCGTTAGTACCCAATTTCCGGTGGCGATGATACACAGTGATGAAGTAAGTTGATGTCAGTGACAATGGAGAAATAGTTATGGAATATAAAGTAAGTTGATTTCAATGAAAATGGAGAAATAGCATTTGAGTATAATGTAAGATTGATGTAGATGTAATTGACCTTGCTGTAATACACTCTGTGTTTCTGTTAGATGTATTTCTATTTGTATCCATCTGATGAGTTATGCCTTTTTCAACTGATTTTTATAGTTTGTTCTAATGTTGTACTGTTACACCACTGTCCAAGGTTAGGGGATGGTTGAGCCCTCACAAACATGTTTAACCCCGCCACATTCTTTATGTGCCTGTCCCAAGTCAGGAGCCTGTAGTTCAGTGGTTGTTGTTGGTTCATGTCTGTAATATTTTTTTTTCGTAAATTGTTTTGTTATAAATTAGGCCGTTAGTTTTCTCAATTGAATTGTTTCATATTTTTCATGTCTGGGCCTTTTAAGCTGACCATACAGTATGGGTTTTTCTCATTGTTGAAGGCCGTACGGTTGCCTATAATTGCTTACATCCTTTGGTGGATAGGTGTCTCATTGGCAATCATACCACATCTCCTTATATTTATATGGAGTACAATGTAAGATTTAAGTAGACATAGATAACAATGAAGAAATATTTATGGAGTAAAATGTAAGATTTAATTATAAGTAGACATAGATAACAATGAAGAAATAGCTATGTAGTACAATGTAAGATTTGAATAGACATAGATAACAATGAAGAAATAGCTATGGAGTACAATGTAAGATTTAAGTAGACATAGATAACAATGACTAAATAGCTATGGAGTACAATGTAAGATTTAATTATAAGTAGACATAGATAACAATGAAGAAATAGCTATGGAGTACAATGTAAGATTTAAATAGACATAGATAACAATGAAGAAATAGCTATGGAGTACAATGTAAGATTTGAATAGACATAGATAACAATGAAGAAATAGCTATGGAGTACAATGTAAGATTTAAGTAGACATAGATAACAGACCTGGGGTCAATTACATGCCAAAGTAATTAATTACATTTCAATTACATTGATTTTTAAATGTAATTAATTACATCACAATTTCATTGATTTTCAAATGTAATTAATTACATTACAATTACATTGCCAATGTAACTAGTTACATTTCAATTACTTTTGTCCAAAGACATGTAAGAGCTATATCATTTTGAATAAAATCATAAAAATGGCAACAGGCTAAAACAGAATGAAACTTTTAAATATACGTGGACTTCACAACAGTGAAAACATCAATTTGTAAAAGATTTGTTTTAAGTTTCAAATTTCTAATGTCATTGTTACATTTAATCACCATTAGATTTGAAATGCTGATTATTTTATTGCATTTCTCAATTTTATGGGGAAAAAATCATAAAGATATCTTAAAATTTCATGTTTCTACTAAAAATGTTAATTTAGATTTAAAGCAATGGTATCATTTTCCAGACTTGTCTTAAATTTGCAAGTCAAAATTGTCAAGTATTTTGGACTCCATTCTTGCACGTATTGACTGCTGTATTCAACATTTTGTAGAAAGTGTTCAAATAATATCCATCTCCATCTGAACAGATTTTAACATATAAATAAGATGGTTTAAAATAAGAATTGCCTTTGGCATTTTAATCATGGGACATACTTGTACTTCATAATTAGTTATTGAAAGGAATAACCTGAGGCTAAGATTATTGTTAATTGTTAGAAAAACATATTTACATACATATGTAATTAAGTGGGTATTGGTTTTTTATGCCCCCGCCGTAGCGGAGGGGGCATTTAGTTTTACCCTTGTCCGTCTGTACGTACGTACATACGTACGTCCTAAAATTGGTTTCCGTTCTCTAACTTGAGTTTGCCTCAACCAAACGTTATGAAACCTATACACAATGCTTATTACCCCAAAACACAGATCAAGTTTTAATTTTGGTGGCGTCACTTTACAGTTCTAGAGTTATGCCCCTTTATAAATGGAAAAATTGCAAAATTTTTAGTTTCCGTTCTCTAACTTAAGTTTGCCTAACTAATAGCTATGGAGTACAATGTAAGATTTAAGTAGACATAGATAACAATGAAGAAATTGCTATGGAGTACAATGTAAGATTTGAATAGACATAGATAACAACGAAGAAATAGCTATGGAGTAAAATGTAAGATTTATGGGGATGTTATTGACAATGCTGAAATAGCTATGGATTACAATGTAAGATTTAAGTAGACATAGATAACAATGAAGAAATAGCTATGGAGTAAAATGTAAGATTTATGTAGATGTAATTGACAATGCTGTTACTTATACTGTAATAGCTATGGAGTAAAATGTAAGATTTAAGTAAACATAGATAACAATTACTAAATAGCTATGGAGTACAATGTAAGATTTAAGTAGACATAGATAACAATGAAGAAATAGCTATGGAGTACAATGTAAGATTTAAATAGACATAGATAACAATGAAGAAATAGCTATGGTGTACAATGTAAGATTTAAGAAGACATAGATAACAATGAAGAGTGGGTCTCATTGGGGTCTAAGTGTGACCTGGGATTGCTGATTTTTTGTAAGCGTGACATGTGAAAGTAAAATTATTGTGCTGTGAAAACGGGAAATAAAGTCTAGTGGGACACAGGAAATTACAAAAAAATGAGAATTGCTTACGTACATAGTGTAAGCGGGATCAGAACCCCCTAATTAGACCCCCTGAAGAAATAGCTATGGAGTAAAATGTAAGATTTATGTAGATGTAATTGACTATGCTGTTACTTATACTGTAATAGCTATGGAGTACAATGTAAGATTAAAGTAGACATAGATATCAATGAAGAAATAGCTATGGAGTAAAATGTAAGATTTAAGTAGACATAGATATTTCAGGATTTCATTATTAAAATTTACTTCTTCTGATTACAGGTGCAGTCAGTTCCAACAGTTTTAGGAATTAGAAATGGGAAAGTTCTTGACCAGTTTATTGGACTACAGGATGATGATCAAATCAAAACATTTGTAGAGAAATTAGTTAACTAATCCAATGTGATAACAGATAAACAGTAACAGAATTGTAATATTGTCACAGATATACATACAGAATTAATTGGATCACAGCCCTGGTTTTAAGCACTGTATGAAGTATATTGTCTTTATGCTTGAAATTTATTGAGTCTATTTCTTAAAAAAAGCACCAAAAACTATAGACCTTATATCTAATTTTCTTCCATTGCTAGACATTTCTGAAGTTTCTGTAAAATTGTGACTTCAAGTTCATTTCAACAAAAATGAATATTTCTTGTTATGTCAAGTGAATCAGTCTGAAATTTATATTTTATCTAAGCCAAGGTCATTTCTACAAAGGTCAATATTTCTTGTAATGTTAAGTGAGTTGATAAACATTTAAAGTACACATAAGTCAAGGTCATATCTAAAAAGGTCATTGTTTTTAGTGATATTGTGTTATCAGTCTGAAATTTATAGTATAACACTTAGCCAAGGTCATTTGTACAAAAGTGAATTTTTCTTGTGATGTCGAGTGAATCAGTCTGAAAATTATAGTACATCTAAGCAATGGCCATTCATACATAGAGTGTAGTGATTAATGAATTCAGAGGCGGATTTTTTTTTGGGGGGGGGGGGGGGGGGGCTAGGGAGCCCGGGCCCCCCTTTTGTGGGAAAAATTTGGTTGATTATTTAGGGAATCACTGGAGCGGGCCCCCTCTTGTGGCAGTCAGTGGGCCCCCATTATGAAAATTTCTGGATCTGCCACTGGAATCAATCTGAAATTTATTTTAAAACAAACCCAATATAAAAATAAGGATATGTGGTATGATTGCCAATTAGACAACTATCCACCAAAGTTCCAATAAAGTGGATGTAAGCAATTATAAGCAAACGTACGGCCTTCAACAATGAGAAAAAAATCTATACCGTAAAGTCGGCTTTAAAAGGCCCCAACATGAAAAATTTGAAGCAATTCAATTGAGAAAACTAATGGCCTAATAATTGAAAAAAAACAAATATTACAGACATGAACTAAAGACAACCAGGCCATTTCTACGAAGGTCAATCTCATTTTAATAAGGGACTTCCGTTTTGAATTTTACTTGGAGTTCGGTATTTTTGTTATTTTACTTTTTTGTAATGTTAAGTGAATCAGTCAAAAATTTACAGTAGGTATTTTGAATATTCAAAAGAAATATTGATAACACAGTAGTACAACTAAGCCAAGGTCATCTCTATTACAATCAATCAATAGATGATAGGGATTTTCTATATTCAAAACAAATATTAATAACACAGTAGTACAACTAAGCCAAGATAATAATATATATAAAAAATGATATTACTACAGAGGTAGTTCGACATTATTGTAAAAGATCTTTACATGGCATTACTGTTAAGATGGTTATCATAATTGTTGAAAGTGTTAACATTATTCCAAAGGTGGTGAACATAACTGTTTAAAGTGTAAACCAGGCTCCATAGGTGGTTGTCATAACTGTTAAAAATCTTAACATTACTGCGAAGAAGGTTGCTATAACCGTTGAAAGTGTTAACATTGCTCAATTTGTGGTTGATATTACTGTTGAAAGTGTAAACAGTACCCAATTAGTAGTAACTAATTGTAAATCCTAAATTTTAAAGGCTAGACGACCTGGATACTTCATTTTTTGTATACAGATGCCTTACATTACAAGGTTCCATCGGTCATATGTCTCATATTCATGATTAGACGAGTGCGTTAAAAACTATATTCTTTTTAAACCTGAATTTCTCACTCGTTATGCACAATAGGGTAAGTAAATTTGGTATATGGAATCCTTGCAAGGTCTACCTTTTTGTGAGTCACAGTTCACCGTGACCTTATTTACTGAACCAGTGATCAAGGTTAGATTTCTATGTATATTTAAGTTTTTATAAGGAGTTGGTCAACAACTATATTTGTCGTATGGAAGGACTGTAGTGTGTACATGTCTGTCTGGCAGGGTTCATAAGACCTTGACCTCATTTTCATGGTTTAGTGGTAAAAGTTAAGTTTTGGAGTTTTGTCTGTTTACTATTAGCGAGAGGCCAACTATATTTGGTGTATGGAATGATTGTTTTGTACATGTCAGATTGACAGGGTTTATATGACCTTGGTCTCATTTTCGTGGTACATTGGTCAACGTTAAGTTTAAGTGGTTTTGTATGTTTCTTAGATACTTTTAGCAATAGGTCAAGTATAGTTGTTGCATGGACTGATTGAAACATGTGCAGGGTTCACGTACCTTGAACTAATTAACGTTTATATAAGTTTTCTAGACCTGCTTTAAAAAAATCTCAAAATATTATTCAGATATAATAAATTGAGTAGGCGAGACATTTCAGCGTGTGCAATCTGGTTTTATTTTGAGGGGACATAAAGTTTTGTTTCTCTAAATATTAATTATGTACATCATGTATTGTCTTGATATATAAATTTCCTTTATCCAAGACCAAGAAACAGAAAAATTGCGAGAACAGCAGGCACAGAAGAGAATAATTAACTGTCAAAAACAATTACTTAATGCTAGAACAAATAATTTAAATGTGAATAATTTTATTTCATTGCCAATTCAATTTTGCATGTACACCTCCATCTTTCAAATCTACTTGTTTAATTTTATAGACTGGTTTCAGTAATAAAACATTGAAATTTCTAATGATTATTTTCTTTACCAAATGTACAAGTATGTTTAGATTGAAATAAAATAATATGTTTTGCTTTATGGTATGATAATGTGGTAAGAAAATCTTACTGGAACCACCATCAACAACACAATCATTTCTAAATATGCTTAAAATACAACTAGTGTCTTCCAGTTGAGCCTTGCAATATTCAAGGTAATCTACAGTGCCCTAATTATCTGGTTGATTGCGAGAAAGTGCCCTTTCAGACAACTAGCACCCTTCTGCCCTGAGATTCAAGCTGGAATACTGCAAGAGTCGTGTGTACCAAGAACAGGTGTTCAAAGGACAATTTTCACAAGAGCGGAAGCTCAAAGGACATTCGTACCAAGAGCTAGTGCTCAAAGGTCATTTGTACCAGCAACAGGAACTTGAGATACATTTATACGAAGAGTACGTGTTCATAAGACATGTGTACAAATTACAGTAGCTCAAGGGACAAGAACATGGGCGCAAACAAGGTTAGAAAACGAGAGGCGAAGGATACCAAAGGGACATTCAAACTCATAAGTGAAAATAAATTGACAACGCCATGGCTAAAAAAGAAAATGACAAACAGATAAACAACATTAAACAAAAACACAAAATAGAGAAAACCAAAGACTCAGCAACACGAACCCCACCAAAAACTGGGATGATCACAGGTTCTCCGGAAGGGTAAGCAGACCCTGCTCCACATGTGGCACCCGTCGTGTTGCTCATGTTAGTACAAACCCGTTGACAGTCTAATTCGGTAGGTCACTTTCGGGGAAAAAGGGAAGGGATTGTAGTTACGACAATTGGAAGATATCCGTTGTTATCTGTGAAACGGATATTCCATAACGGTCAACCAACTCGTGATGGCGTCCGTAAAATTTACGAAGGGACAATTTCAACTTCACCACTTGGAACTCTTGGTTTAATAGCTTCTTTGTGAGCAGCAACCCTCTGTCAAGGAAATCATGATAGGGAATACAAGCTCTGGAATACCGTATCAACTGGTAGACATACACTCCGTATGCAGGCGCTGCTTGAATGTTACTACATAAAAATGGAAAGTGCACAATTGGGAAGCTGAAATCATCTCTTTTGTCGTAAAGTTTTTATTTAAATCAATGATATTTATCTACCTGTACTATATATGTGCTCTTGTATGCAGTGTGGTATGTTTTTGCTTTATTACCCTTTTGTTTATGTAATTTTTTTTTTATATGTAGATTAGATGGCCACGGGACGGATTAACTGTTTTGTTGACTGTGTAACCTTCTGAAAATTTATATTATATTATATTATAAAGTTTTGTTTTCAACCGACCATCTATGTCAATTTCTAGGTGTAAGTCCAAGGGTGAACACAGGGTAGGTATTTTAATCGGATTGTACTTGTAAACAGAAAGAATATATTTGTAGAATATAATTTCAAATGCACCTTTTCTGCAGTGCAATTATCTTCATTTTGATTTAAAGTCAATTAACCATTCCTGAACGTAAATGATTACACACAATCACGTACATCTCTGAGAAATACCCACGATTATTTTCTAAAACTTATCGCATAAGATAAGGGAGTTAGCGTTTAAATAAAAAGAATGTCAATGTAACTTGTAAAAATGAAACTATTTTGTTATATTTGTGAAAAAAGTATTCCCATCAAATTCACTTCCAGGAATGTTGATATGTGTTCGTACATCTTAGATTTTTTGAAATATTGAGCTGCAAGGTAACACCAAGGTAACACCAATCTGACAGCAACAACACGACACAAATTCACAAATAGTAAGTTTCTACCATACTTGATGGTCTCAAACGAAGGACATGCTACTTTCATGTATTTGCATCTCGAATTCGTTAAGTTGGACTACTGCTGTATAGAACTTCTAAGACATGTTTTCTGACAGGCTTTACGGAAATCTTGCTTGTACCATGCATATATAACTGGGTTAATGACGCTGTTCAGCATTCCAAGGAATACGAGCCAGTGTGATGTTTCTTGAAGATTGAAATCTGTCGAATAACCATTGGCAAATGCAAACGAAAAAAACATGAATGGTGTCCAGCATATTGTAAAAGCTATTGTTATAATCAACATGACCTTCGCCCCTCGTATATTTTTATGAAGTTTTTTGTCCCCAGTTTCCATTTCATATAGTGGTCTTGTTCTTTTGTAGAATTTTCTTATCTTGAAGAAGATGAGAAAGTGTGCAACGAATGAAAGGCCATTCAATGAACAAACAATAGTAGAAGTTGTCCAGAAAAACTCGGGAGAGTAAACAAGACTAAAGCTACAACTAGGTGCAGTATCCCATTCGTTCCATCCGAAAAATGGCGGGAGTGATAATGACATTGAAATAAGCCATGGTAAAGTAACAATAACACTGGATAATTTTTTCGTAAGGATTTGTTTATATAGATCTTGTTGACAGATAGCAATGTAACGATCAATTGACAGGAGGAATACGGTGACATGTGATGCGATGGTCATACAACCTACTACCTGAAAACGTAATAGGCAGGAGACTACGTTCTGATTCAAATGACGGTAAAAAACGTAGAGAATCTGAACCCCTGAGGACATTCCTGTGAAGAAATCTGCTATTGCAAGATTCAATACAAAGACGTTTGAGTTGTCCTTGAGACTCATGTGTCTCAATACCACGTAGATAACAAAGAAGTTGCCGGTACATGCAATCACGAACACAATTTGCTGTAGAGTGAGGAAAACTGTTAATAATGTAGGTAACGCCAGTGGTAAGCTGCTAGAATTGTTTACTAAAGACGCAGTGTCATCTGGTGTCAGGTTAAACGACATGTTGACAATCCAATCTTAATATACCTACAAAAAAGAATGAAATGTATTATAAAAACAAGAAGATGTGGTATGATTGACAAATGGACAACTATCCACCAAAGTTCAAATAAAGTAGATGTAATCAATTATAGGCAACCGTATTGG